CCCAGGTATGGGGACATGTATCCCATGGTCATATCAAGATGTTTCGCCTGCGCAGGATGAGGTACTGCGAACTCTACCGCCAGATGCTGAGGGCAGCTGTGTGCTTGCTGCCGAGGTTGACTTTGTCACGCGGCCCGTTGTCTTCATCGCCCGACTAGCCTTGCCCTACTTCATGGGTGACTTATTGGAAGTTCCGTTGCCCATGCGATCAATTGTTGTAGTTCTGAATCCGCGCAAGCAAACCTACACGACATTCCCAAGTGCAAGCAGTGCTGGAAGGACCATGGGAGCTCTCCTTGCCGATTACCAGTTTCGACAGCGGCTTGACATTGCCTACTCAGCATCTGAAATTGCAGCTTACATTGAAGAGTATCTTGAGACAACCGTTGTCTTGCAGCGAGGACCCTATGGAGATCATCTTCTCCTCCCAGCCCTGAAGAGTTGCTCGACGAGAAGAGCTTCAAACCCAGACTGTAATCAAGTATCTCACAAGGCCACCATGAAGTCAGCTCAGCAACCAAAGAATGAGCTCGGAGCAGGTCAAGTGGATGATTCTCGCGTGGATGCCGACTCGCTGGCGAGAACTGGGCGGCTGTTTGGTGGTCTGAGACAGGATCTACAGAGGTTACGACGGCGCTTCCCCAGTGACTTCAGCGATGCATTGAGCGTGCAATGCCTTATCACAACTGTGGTGATGTACTTTGGGCTAGTTGCGCCATTGATCGCATTCGGCAGTCTGCTTGGAGAGAAGACCCAGGAAACCATGGGCTTGGCGGAGACCCTGATCTCGGCCAGCTTTGGTGGTGCACTGTTCAGTTTGTTTGCAGGACAGCCACTGATGTTCATCAGCGTGACTGGTCCCATGGCTGTGTTTGAGGCAGCAATATACCGATTCTGTCACGACAACGGCTTCGACTTCTTTGGATTTCGCTTCTGGACTGGGCTGTGGATATTCGTCTTCCTAATGGTCATCGTGGCAACAGATAGCAGCCACCTGATCAAACGCTTCACCCCATTCACAGAGGAAGTGTTCACGGCGTTGATAGCGTTCATCTTCATATATGAGTCAACGTCGACAATCTTCCAAGTGTTTGAAGACCATCCACTGCGCAAAGTCTATGAGTGCACGGCCGCCCAGTGTCTGAGTGCATCGGAACGCTTGTCTGCCATACAAGACAACAGCAACATGTCCAACATGTCCAACTGTACTACTCAACTAGTCGAATGGGTTGGCAACAGTCTCGGCAATGAATCCAACAGCTCTCAGATCCTCAACGACTCCGACCTGCTTGCACGCTCTGCTACCCAACCAAACACAGCCCTGTTCTACCTGATGCTGGTGTTCGGAACATTCTCACTGGCCCATGCCCTGCGATCGCTAAAGGCCAGCAGATACATGACCAAGTATACGCGACGATTCTTTGGCGATATGAGCATCTTCCTCAGCATCCTGGTCATGTACTTGGTCTCACGCTATGTGTTCCATGAAGTTCACAATGACAAGATCATTGTACCTATAGGACTACAGCCAACACAGGCCCGATCCTGGCTGATAGACCCGAGTCCAGCTACCACTCCAGGCCTCGTGTTTGGGGCTGCTTTGCCTGGCCTACTGGCCGCATTCCTCATCTTCATCGAGACGCAGGTAACATGCCTGCTCTGTTCCAACTCTGAGCACCGTCTCAAGAAGACAGGTGGCTACCACTGGAACCTGACACTAACTGCTGTACTTGCTCTAGCCTGCTCAGCGTTGGGTCTGCCATGGCTCTGTGGGCAGCCAGTTACCAGTCTTATTCACACTAAGAGCCTGCTGCGCGTCAATTCCAAAGTAGCGCCCGGTGAGAAACCACGCGTTGTGGGAGCTCACGAGCAGAGAGTTACCGGCATTCTCATCAACGTGCTTGTCGGAATCAGCGTGACGTCGCCAGTAGCCAGTGTCCTCAGCCACATCCCAATGGCGGTCATCATGGGCATCTTCTTCTACATGGGATTCTGCAATCTACTATCGTTGCAATTTCTACAGCGTGTTGTGTTACTCTTCGTACCGGCCAAGCACCACCAGTCGTACTCGAACAAGTACAGTTTCATCAAGTTTGTCTCGACCGTGCGAATGAACGTGTTCACCATTGTGCAGCTCTGCTGCTTTGCTGTTCTGGTTGCGTGCAAAATGACAAAGGCCGGCATGGTCTTTCCGTTCTTTATCGCTCTTATGATTCCCGTGCGCGACTACATTCTGACAAAATGGCTCTCGCCTAGAGAGCTAGCTGCTCTTGATCCCCACTAGGAATATCAACTGACACAGAGTCAGAGCACAAGTTGATTATTATCTTGGCAGGATAATGCTGAACACCACTTTGCTATTCGTTAATTACTTGGTTTGCGCCGGAAAATACTTGCTTGATACCTTCTAAATTTTGATTATCTTGTACAGTAATGTTATTATGTCCAAAATTCCTAAATTACAAATTTCATTCCGAACCAAGATATTCTAAATTTTGATTATCTTGTACAGTAACGTTATTATGTCCAAAATTCCTAAATTACAAATTTCATTCCGAACCAAGATATTCCATGCATGCATTTCCGCTGTAGCCTGTTGCTGATAGAAATCAATGATTATTGATCTTCATGTTCCTAATCACTTTGAAAAAGTTCCAATAAAGTACTGATCCACATCACGATCACTAAATAAGCACCCTTTGAAATATTGAGAAATACCAAGCGGGCACTTATCAGCAAAAGGACGATACATTTCGTAAGAATAAAAATTTCAAGGTTACGAAAGTAAAGAAAAGGACCAAGGAACTACAAGTTACGCTGTCCACTAACACCACCAGTTACTTAACAATCAGCTCATGCGATAACATTGCGCAACACTGCCGGTACTGACATTCTACAACTACTGTATAAGCAGAAATATTCGTCTGGAATTTAATTTCGTCTTTTTCGTCCAAGGAGCTTTTGGACTAAATTAAATGTAGGACGAATATCGATTTGTCCAGCTTTTCTATACACTCTTATGATCCATGGACGAAATTTTCAACCGGACGAACTCCTTTTCTTTGGAGTTGGACGAAATTATTGACCGACGAAATTTTCTGCCTCTACAGTAACTGGCTAACAGCTCTAGCACATCTTGGATGCGAACTCCAACAGCCTTCCAGCTTGGAAGGTTCTAAGTTATCGCATGAGCTGATTGTTAAGTATCTGGTGGTATTAGTGGACATTATAGCGTAACTTGTAGTTCCTTGATACTTTTCTTTACTATAAATTAATCCTTGGCTCTCCATCCGAGTCTGTAGTTACGAAAGTATTTTACATTTTTCAAGATTTATCAATAATTTCCACAAAATAATACTAGCTATGGGGCTACTCAAGAAGAGAAATGGATAGATCAATATAATACACAATCTCTGTAGTTTTGTGAGCAACAAAGAGATCATAGGGGGAATGGGTTATGATGACCATTTGATGTGAAAAATCTCACAGCTAATGACAGCAAATTGAACCTTCCAGCATAGTGGAATCCAAGCAGGCATAAATATAAAATCCTCTGTTCCGAGCAGCTGAATGTAGTCAAAGAAAGATTGCTTCCAACAAAGGAAGTAATAAATATAGGAAAAAGAGAATTTCAAAGCCCTATCATAGGACCCTTCCTTCCTGTCCGCTAACGTTACTTGGCTTTCTTGTCTTCTTTGGGTGCCGCCTTGCGGTACGCTAGCTGGTAGAAGCTGTTGAATAGCGCAAAGAAGATGATCATGTACATTGCCATGGACATTGCAAACACAGTCGGGTAGCCGCAGTCAGCACCCCATACGTACAGATCATGTAGCGTCAACGTGACGAACTGGAGCAGCTGAAACGTGGTTATATATTTCTTCCACCATAGGTACGGGTGCGCGGCCGGGCCGAATGCTGACAGGAAATAGTAGGTGTACATGACAACGTGAACAATGCAGTTGATCAATGCGCTGAAGAAGGTGATTCCTCCTCCAATCCATCGGCTTACGCTCCACCAGACAAGCACCATGGACGTGTGGTGGAACACGTGCAGAAAGCTCACTTGGCTGTTCTTCTTGCGCAGGACGAAGAAGATGGTCTCGATCAGCTCAATGCTCTTGGAGAAATAGTACAGCCAGCATATCACGGCCATTCTTGTAGGTGCTCTCTCTGTACTGTAGTTGACTGGCTCGCAGTACCAGCTGGAATCGTTGTCCAACGCGGCCAGTACAAATTCCACAGACATATACAAGCTGAGCAATACTAAGCAGAAGTTGTACACAATCAGCACGTACTTCAAGTTCCATGCTTCGCGACTAGCCATCAACTTTTGCCCGACGAATATACTCAGCAAATAGGTAGAAATCACAATGAAGGGTTCGTGAAACCCACCCATCAGCGGCAAATGGCTCACACGAGGGTCCGCGTTCGGACTCCATGAGGGCACGAAACGCGGTTCCGTTTGAAAGATAGGAGCTAACAAATGATCAGTGGACGCATTCATGTTTCCTTCTAACAGCACAAATTTACCAGGAGATGATAAAATCCAGCGCGCCGCGATGACCGTCAAGAAATTTCTTTACAGTTACACCTGCCCGGAATTACGTTTCAGGGCAGCATAGGCTAAGAGTATTAGACGCGCTACGAACCGCTTCCTCTTCCAGCTCCACACTTCACTTCAGGCAGCAAATGGCACAGGAACGAAATCGCTAAGCTAGGAAGTAAGTTACTAAGAGCACTGACTGAGAAGAACCGAAACATTCTCTTGAGGTGTTACAAGATTTTCTCATGCACACCGGCTTCGCCTGCGCTTCTGCATTACTGCCACTAATACTGCTGTCAAGTAATGGTTGACATGACACAGGAGGAGGGAGAGGGGTCAAAATGTGAAGACTGAAGGGCGCACGCGAGGTCCGGTGTGACTGCCTCTCGCACGTGCAGTCGATTATGCAACGCCTCACGCGATGTTTGAAGTGGCTAGCTAGTGGCCTGAGTTTTCTTTGGTCTTCACGACTGCAGATCTACCATGCAAGCTCAAGAGGCACCGGCGGTACGTGCACGTAAGTGCGTTGATGGCATGATTCTCAATTATGCAATGCGCCCAGTTGGCACGTGATATTGAATGAGCACAATAAGTCAACTATTACTATAATATTAGTACAGTATTACTTATAATGATACTTGATATTAACCCCATATACTGGCATATAGATCTACATGGCGAACATTGTATTATTGTTTCTTTGACACTTGACCCTCGCTTTGTCTCCTGCACTGCCCCTGTCTCTCTTTCTCTCAACATTTTAAAATGGTGTATCAGTATCTCCGCCGTTGACTCCTGCTCTGGCCTCTCTACAGTGCTCTGCAGAACAATCGTCGTTCTCACTCTCGAACTCCTATAATACATGAATGCATTCTCTACTTAGTACCTCTACTACACTGTCTGATGGTTGGTTCAGCCATGAAACTCTGAGTCACAACGGAATTTGCCCAAGGTTTTCATTCTGTGCCTTTGCATAAAAGTATCGTAGTATTCGGACAATGTCTTCTACTTTACAACTAATTACATTGACCACCTGACTCTCAACACTGACTGCATAGCTAGAACTATAATCATAGATTCATACGGTATACAAGCAATGCACAAGTGCAACAGTATAGTGTGTGTGTGTGTGTGTGTGTGTGTGTGTGTGTGTGTGTGTGTGTGTGTGTGTGTGTGTGTGTGTGTGTGTGTGTGTGTGTGTGTGTGTGTGTGTGTGTGTGTGTGTGTGTGTGCCAGGCTAAAAATAGTGGCGGTCAATTCATCAGCCTTGCAAGCTGTTGGATGGTGCAATCCCAGCACAAGTTGCTATGTCTAACATAGCTGTTCGCTATCATCGCTTCCGCGATGGGCATGTCTTAGTCTTAGTAGTGTGTGTGCACGGTGCTGGTGGTGGTGTGTGCACGGTGCTGGTGGTGGTGTGTGCACGGTGCTGGTGGTGGTGTGTGCATGTGCTTTTGTGTGCACGTGCTGGCATGCATCTGTGTGCCGGTGTCCATATGTCTGTGTCCGTGTGTACAACAAGCATGACCGAGGATTTGTTGGATGCTTTTGGTCTTTCGCTAGCCATGGCAGTTGATATGCTGAGGAATACCACCAACCTCAAGGATCAACCGGACACTGATGCAGCTCCTAGGCTAAAGTAACTAGTTGTAGAAGTTGAGTAGATCAGCCCAATTGGCCAAGCACAACAGAAAAAATCGATTCTGGAACACCTTGATGGCTTCGGTGATGTGTGGTGATGACGACAGACTATATTTTATCTACTGTAAACCGCCCAATATCCGCGTCACTAAATTTTCGCGATTTCTTAGAACCAGCGAGTTTGCGATGGTAAAAGTTCGCGAAACACTGGGGCCACTTACATCCACCCACTGTTGAAGTTAGATTTCACGATGGTTAATATTCGCGTTACTCTCTTCTCGCGAAAATAGCGAACACTAATCCGTCGCGAATATTAGGCAGTTTACAGTATTGCCATAATTATGATAATTGCCATCGTTTATTTGACCATCTAAATTCTTTCAAAATTCGTGTTCTGGTGTTTTGTATGCTGTTCATTTCACTGGGCTACATGTTGCACCACAGTACGATGGCACAAAGGATGGAATTGGACATGAGAAATCGTTTGAGTCCATCTGACAACTGTACTCCACCAGGCCCGGTAGGAAGCTTTTCAGTGAGCCAGGTATTGTGCCATTTAACCCGTTACCCGCAACATTGAAGAACTTCAGCTTTGACAGGCTTCCAAGCGACTCAGGTATGGGCCCAGTCAGCTGATTTGTGCGTATTCCAAAATGAGTCAAGTTGGTTAGCTGACCGAGTATATCTGGCAGATGACCAAACATCATTGCACCCATCTCCAAATAGGTCAAGTTACCATGCTGTTCAAATGTCTCCGGCCATGATCCAGCTATCGAGTTATAGCTTATGTCCATGTACCTATGGGGAAAGGGAGGATACATGCACATACGGACACACAAGGACACACGTGGCATGCCTCTGAAACTTTAAGGCAGGCATCAGTGGCGTGCAACGAGTCTTGAAAGGGAGGTTTCTATAGTAACTGTTGGTAATTGTTTTCTGGAGACCCACTGTATAATTATGTACTTGTGCACATGCGCATCCCCCCGAACATCCCGTCGGAGATAACGGTGAGGGCTAGGGAGGAGGTGGGGGGGGGGGGGGGGGCTCAAGATCAGGGGTGCACCAATGAACACTCCGGGTGCTGATGAGATGTGGGGCTCCTCCGACTGCTATTTATTATGCCGGCACAAACGCGTCTGAGAGAGAACCAGGTCCAGGGGTAGAAAGGACAGAAATAAGAGTACAGGTCGTCCCCCGTTAATACGAGTCCGGTTAGTACATAAACCCCGTTAGTACATAAGAAATCTCAAGTCCCGGACGAAACGTGGTCACTTCCATACAAATTTTGTCGGTTAGTACATAATTCGTTAGTACATAAACCCCGTTAGTACATAACATTTCTCCGTACCCGCATGCCACCTACCTCAATAGTACATAATTTGTTGGTCTTTTGGCCTTCCAGTGGAGGCACGTCGTGTTCTAGTTTCTACTTGTGGACGCAATTATCTCAGAAATCAGAGCGCACATCACAAACCGACAAAGCTCTGTTTTTTCGAGTGACTGTACAGGCGCGGCTGGGCATGTATCATGTAAACTGTAGAATCTTCGCAGACTGTGACCGTTATAACATAATTTTTATGTTATATCGAGGGAATCAAGAATATCTCGGTCCCTAGTCATGGCAGCAAGAAACACTCAGAAAAGTTGAAAAAGTGAAAAATTCTGGTATACAAGCAAGTTATGTACACTTTCGTTTAGTACATAAACCCCGTTAATACATAACATTTGTCAAGTCCCAGAGATTATGTATTAACGAGGGACGACCTGTATAGTAATAATTATAGTAATGAGGAATGGAGGGAGGGGACGATGTTACATGGAAATGTTGGTACATGTATAACCGGTGGCAGGATAAAACGGGTTACCTTTTACATACCAGCACTTATTTGCAAAGAGGGTGCAAAAGTCAATGTACTCATATACATGTTTGTCATATTGAACTCGTAAAAGTTTGATAGGCCTAGCCGCCCAGGCTACACTACAGTCTAACAGGTACTTCACTAGTCCACTCCAGGCATGTTCGTTTCATCAAACACTGCTTACATTCGACGTATCTTTCTTTCTGTTCTTATGACGAAGTTTTCAGCATGTATTGGCAATGTTCCACATGATTTCAATAAAGAGTTAATGGACCTTGCTTCGATGGAAAATCGCGGAAGAAAAGTGAAGCCCCCCCCCCCCCCCACGTCCTTGAGTCGTGGCCGGAGCAGCGCTTCGTTCTGAAGCAGTGCAAGTGGATCCTGGACGCACATTTTTTACGTCTTCCCATCGACAACGTTTTTGACGAACATCTCTGCTGCACACATGAGCAAGAACGGAAGGCTGTGGAGATCTTGATTTGAGTGAACAGTTTGGAAGGAAATATCGTCAATCATATCCTTGAACTGACTTGCATCGCGCGTGCTTCGACTCAAATTTCGAGACAAAACGGATTTCTTGAACGTCATCGCCAAACCAGAAGCGGACCAGAGCTAAAGATCGACCTCTCTGTAGCTACTCTCCACTGAAGAAAGAGAGAATAATGTATTTTGAACTGCATGCAAAGCAACTCTCTCACTTCGAAATAAGGATACAGCCACAGTACTGTAAACTGCCCGTCGATCGACGCGTATGCACGATAACCAATCCAGTAGGCACGCTTTTCCTTTGGCAAGACTGCCCGAAAAAAGGTGGTTTCTAGACACCAAAAAACTCATACGGTGCACACGCCTGGGCATGGCATTTCTTCAAGAAAGTATACTGCTCATAACGTTACCAACGGCCGGGTCTGTGCCATTGTGCAACAGTGGATGTATACCATATTGAGTGTTGAGATAGTCGAGTGCCCAGCACGGCTGCTTCAGAATTGTTTTCAGGGAACGACACTAAAGAGAATGCCGATCCAAAACCAGGTTACAAATACACAATGCATAAATCCTCTTCTAGATCACATGATCAGATACGACGAACATGCCGTCACAGGCGATCTCAAACAATCCAAACAAACAGAACAGCATGTACTACTCACTGTAAACTGGTGATGTTCCAAATCGATGAGGGTATCGGTGCCTGTGCATTGTAGTTGCCTGTGAAACTCAAGTACGTCAAGTTAGTCAGCTGTCCGATAGACTCTGGCAGCTTGCCATGGAACACACCTACGACCAAGAACCAAACCATGATAAATGGCATACATGTTCATGCAATACAAGTACAGTATATACAATCCACCAGGCTAACGGTGATCATTAGTGCTGCTCGGTGTGGAGAAATACACAGCCCATATGCACACATTAGCAGGAGGACAGGCGGTTATCTCCGTGACGAATAAAATTATTCGTAGACCAATTTTCGTACATTTCCCAAACTGCGAGACCGTTTGGGGAGTGTTGCGAAGATGTATGGATATAATTTTCGTACATATTCATTTAATACTGTGTTAGGTACCTCCGCCCGTGCTACGTCATTCTCACCTACGTCATTCTCACCTTTCGTTCCGTTGGCCTGGGTAGCTACTTGCGCACCCATGTTTGCCATAGCTACCCAGGCCCTATATATTGCGTCAACTCTCTTCAGATCTCTCTCTCAACTCTCTTCAAAATATCTCTCTCTTTCATAATGGAGTCGTTTAGTTCCTCTTTCTCTCCGTCTCTTCGTCTATAATAAATGTCTTCCCACTACTAGTACCTCTCCCAAGTTGTTCCTTTGTGTCTGGGATGGTGACTCCTTATGTGACTCAACAACTGTATAGCAGGAAATTTTCGGACGGAATTTATTCTCGTACGATTTCGTACATGGGGTCTTTTGTACTAAAATAAATTCTGTACTAAAATTTGTTCATGTGAAATTATGTACACGATACATGTGTACTGCATGCGAACACATGCATTTAGCATGCAGCACTGTATGAAAATACAATCCGTACGAAAGGTCGAAATTCGGCTTTGTCCGAATAAAATTCCGTCCGAAAATTTCCTGCTATATAGTACACTTGAGAATATTCGGCTTCTATAACAGCATGCAGTGAGTAGTGACAGTGTGAGCTTACCGGGCTCGGGGCTCACACTAAAATACTCCAGTTTCTTTGCTTGGTGGATGTTATCCGGCAGCTCCACCAGCACGTTGTAGTCCAATGCAAGGTGGCGAAGCTTCCTCAACTTTGAGAATCCATTGCCGGGAAAGTCGATCATCACCTGACCCAAGCTGAAATCGATTACCTGGCGATATTGAAGTTACAACAGATAAACACAGCAAACAGGGGTTGCGACCCGGCAAAGGATTCAGTCAGAAAGGACTACCGTATACTAAAAACAAGCTGAGCCACTCGCACATTCGTGACGGAATCACAGCCATTCCGTGGCCCAGGTCATAGGAACAAAAATGACAAATATTTGTTTGCTTTTACTTATAATATCCATACTACTAGTAAGTTACATGGGGACTCAAACTAAGACATGACAGAAGTCAGTGACTAGAAATAAAAGGGATAAACAAGAAGGCTGAAAAGACAAGACTCACGCATGCATTCAAGACAAGAGATCGTTTGGGGAATGACACACCACACCGGGAAACAATATTATATTGTTTCAATATTATTGTTTTGCAACGCATGTGTGCTGGTGTAGAAATGGAAATGAGTCTCAACAGCTGATCTCGGGTTTTTTTCTGCACTCGAAGTTATGAACCTCTCCAAGTAGTCAAGGTTAATAGTGATGTACAGAACTAATACTTGCATGAAATCACACCGGATATAGCACACAACAGCTACCGTGGCAAGGTAGAGGGCCTACTGTCAAGGATAGTGTTTCCCGATTACAGCTATGATGTACTGATCTGTACTAACTCTGTCTTATATCAAGATCAACAGTGCATATGATACTCCACATGGCCCAGTCAGGGATTATGTACTCTTGATATCCATCCAACGACCAAGTAGCTACCCTGCGCGCTTTGCTACCTTCCTGGGTATATATTTGGACCCAGATGATGTACAGCCTACAGGTTATCAGCTGTCTGAGGATTGCCTTAGCTTTGCTATGTGCATGAAACGCAGCGTTACAACAATGACCTAACCGGTTGTCTCTGTTCTCTTCTGCCTTTGTGGCAATGCTCCATCCTTGTGGTGTCGAGCCCTCTAGGTAATCTGGGAACTCTCGCTATTGCAACGACCAAGTAGAAGTACATGCAGCATTTGGTGGAGTAAAGAGTGCACACATTAGATGCGCTCTGTTGGCCTCAAAATCACACGTGTGCACAACACTGGGGAGGACTGAATGGATGGTAACAATTTAAAAACTTTTGCTTGAATAATCTGAATTTCTGGTCAAAGGGGGAAGGAACTATACAAGACTGTATTGAACTATGGCACATCCATGTACTTTATCCCCCACCCCCTGTCTCTCTCTTTCTCTTTCTCTCTTTCCCATGGCCCAATACACTGCTAAGGTGTACAGTACCTCTAGATCTGGTAGATTGAGGATGTCCGGATTCAGCTGGCCCGTCAAACTGTTGTGGTTGAGATCCAGCACTCTCAGTCGTTTCAAAGATGCCAGACTATCGGGGATGGTCACCAGACGAGTGCCTTCATACGGAGGGTGTTCTGTGCCGTTACCAATGCGAAGATAGACCAGTGAAGTATCTCCCAGACTCTCAGGCAAATTCAAAGATCCACCATTGTCGTTGATTTCAAGAAACAACAGATTTGATAGGAGGCCGATATTCTCGGGCAATGATTTGATCCTGTTTTCCCCAAGCATTAGGACGGTCAGTGATTGTTGTAGCGATTCACTGGCAGCGAATTCCTCTGGAATATCTCCAGTCAAGTTGCTATGGATGAGTGAAAGCTTAGTTACTTGTCCACTCGACTCACACGCAACACCATTCCAGCTGCAGCATTGTTTGGTTTTGTTCCAACCATCTCGGCTATCTTGCGACCATGTTTCGCCTCCAGTCGCCCAATACAATGCGTTCAAACCTTGCAGTGCACTTTCCGCACAATTCGATAGCTGCTCTGAAGCCGCATGATCCCATCCGGAGACTGTATTGCGTTGGCCCGATGTCAGTCGCCCACTCAGCTCTTCTAACCACGAACTGGAGCCGATTCCTTCATTCAAATGCCATTTCGGATGCTTCACACTTTGCACAGGCTGGATTAATAATGGAGCGCTTGCCAGGAGCACGGCAACGTGAAGAAGCAGTCCCTGAGCTGAGCTCATTCTGCCTGCAATAGTTCGCTAACAGGAGTCGGACTGAATCTAAGTTGTCGATTCTTGTTGTGCCTTGGTTTCATTGTTCACTAATCTATAATTAGTTAGTTAGTTCGAGGTCCAACTAACTACTTTGTAAGGTAAGTCTAGAGACAGGTAACTACAATGTCATGACATTTTTTGGTCATGCTCAATGAGTCGCGTCAAGTAATTTTTAATTTTCAACCAATTATTTGCGCCCGAGTTCACATCTCCAGGTTTTGAAGGGCCTATAATAAAGCCTAGGCAGAGTATGTAGCCTAGGGCTGCACATGTACACAGCGCCTGGCGTGGTACTCGCCCGCTTTATCGGATTTCATTGAGCAGCTTGTTGTTGTCCATCCTAGATCCTGCTGCCCTGGCCTGGTAATACCATAAAGTCGCGGATAAAAGCCGGGCTTATAAGCACATAAGCCGCTTCCTGCATCAGGCTTCAATGCAAACCAGGCTTGTATGCAAACCATGCTTATAATCATGATAATGCACCACTGATATTTTGGCCAGGCTTGTATGCACACCGGCCGATCCGGCCGATCCGGGCTTGCATAGAAGCCAGGCTTCTACGCGCGACACGCGTAGATTTACCACTGACTACCGGTATGGCGGCAGTTTTACTATGCACTGTACATAGCGCATGCACTCTTGACCTACCCGATCCGCGCTTGCATAGAAGCCAGGCTTCTACGCGCGACAGGCTATATTACTATTATTAGTTATAATATAAGTTCAGGGCAGGGAGTCGTAAAAGCCCGGGAGAGGACACGGGATGCGCGCACGCGGACGATGTTTGCCTCGGCCAGAAAGTGAAGCACGCTAGGCCGGCGCGGCCGGATCTGCTCGATCCACGGCGCTGTGCTTGTCTTCAGGGCAGGGAGTCCTAAAATACCAATATTTTACAACTCGTTGTTGACACCATTATCCGAAACTGGTGGCGAAGGAAGGATAAACATGATTGTATGTCTGTCAGACTCAGTACAGGGGTGGGGAGTTGAGTGTGTGTGTGTGTGGGGGGGGGGGGGGGGGGGAAGGGGGGAGGGGGGGGGGGGAGGCGTGTGTATGTGCACATGTGCTTGTACTTTTGTGTGTGTTTGTACAGTGTTTGTGTGTGTGCTTGTGTGTGTGCGCGCGAACGTGTGTGTGCATTTTTGTGCACAATTCCGTTATGAAGTACAAATGATAGGTTTACCTTTTGTACACTCGCCAAGACTTCCGTTTCCTAAACGGCTCAAGTCACCGCGTACTCAGTATACGAGTAGAAAAGTGTTGAAATTATCAAGATTTATAAATAACGACCTGCAACCATGTACAATGTAGATAGATAGGGAACACACATTGATTGTTTTTAAAAGAATCCAGGCATTATCATGAATCATGGAACGAGTGCGTAATAATGCGTAATAATGCTCTATGTTGCGTTTTGACGGTGCTGAAGGAAGGGAGCCGTCGCGATTTACTCACAGAAGTCCACTCGACTGCAATTTCTGACACAAATTCATAAATCCACGAGTACGCCGAGGAAGCTCAGCGGATCTCCACAAGAACTTTCGCCCATCGCCTGCAATGGAATATGGGCTGTATGATACGACCAGTGGTTAAGACGGGAAGTGGCGTCATTTTCCACAAATCTCGTTTCATTCACAACCATTTGACTGCAATTCAGTGCAATTTCTGCCACAAATTCAACTCCACGAGTACGAGGAAACTCAGCGGATCTCAACACGAACGTTGGCCCATCACCTGCAATGGAATATGGGCTGTATGCTACGACCAGCGGCTAACACGGGAAGTGGCGTCATTTTCCACAAATCTCGTTTCATTCACAACCATTTGACTGCAATTCAGTGCAATTTCTGCCACAAATTCAACTCCACGAGTACGAGGAAACTCAGCGGATCTCAACACGAACGTTGGCCCATCACCTGCAATGGAATATGGGCTGTATGCTACGACCAGCGGCTAACACGGGAAGTGGCGTCATTTTCCACAAATCTCGTTTCATTCACAACCATTTGACTGCAATTCAGTGCAATTTCTGCCACAAATTCAACTCCACGAGTACGAGGAAACTCAGCGGATCTCAACACGAACGTTGGCCCATCACCTGCAATGGAATATGGGCTGTATGCTACGACCAGCGGCTAACACGGGAAGTGGCGTCATTTTCCACAAATCTCGTTTCATTCACAACCATTTGACTGCAATTCAGTGCAATTGCTGCCACAAATTCAACTCCACGAGTACGAGGAAACTCAGCGGATCTCAACACGAACGTTGGCCCATCACCTGCAATGGAATATGGGCTGTATGATACGACCAGCGGCTAACACGGGAAGTGGCGTCATTTTCCACAAATCTCATTTCGTTCACCCCAACTCAAATAAAAGTGAAGTACAATTAGGGATTTGTCTTGCATTTCCATCGCCTCAGAATAAATTAACTTCGATAAACTGAGAGAGAATGAGTGAGGCAGCTGGAAGATGAGGATGAAAATAGAGATCAGAAGACTCGACGGAGCAATCGTCTCCGTGCTCTAAGAGAAATCGGAGAATGTCCCAATTAGTATTTCAAGAAGACATCACAATTTTCGAAAATAATAATTTCCTTGCCTCGCAACACCGTTCCCTGGCAGCGTTCCCCGGCAGCGCGAGGCAAAGATGTTTTCTGGGAATGTGTGCCGTGTCCTCTCCCGGGCTTTTACGACTCCCTGGTAATAGTTATAATTATGCATTGACCCGTTCGATTTCCAGGCTTCTATCCGCGATGTGCTTGTATGCAAACCCGGCTTTTATCCGCGACTTTACGGTATACATGACGTGTAGATCTACACGTAATAATAATTACATGTATATTGATGGGGACGGGGAGTGGCTGGTAGGTCTACAGTCCATGGCATGAGGAGTTCTTCTAGCTCTTCAGAGTCCTCCCAGATCCTCCTTACACAAGTTACAGCACACAGAATCAAGAGTTCAATCATACTATTAGTATTACAGTGGGCGGAGTGTCTAGAACGGAATCGGAGAGGATATTGAAGCGTAAACGGAAGGAGGGAGGAGACTCGGAGAGTGATTGGAAGACTACCGCCGGCGATTCTAGCAGCATTAGAGAGGTTTCGACCCCCGTGATTTGTGCTCTTACGTGAACGTCAATTTTTTGCGTCGACGCGAGCTCAGAAAGAGCTTTCGTCTCACGTTGCTTGTGAAGCACGTCGTGTCGCTGACGACAGGAGCGAAAACTGGGAGCGAAAACTTCAAAAAGTGAAAAAAGTGATTTTTGGTGAGGCCAGTCGCACAAATATTATTTATAGCTAGTTTAGGCAAAATCGACAAATCGAGTCAATAATCCCAACCTGATAGCAAGGCTAAATTTGCAAAAACTCGCGTTCACGTCGAACGTGAGTTGAGCTCAGCTCACGTCATGAACGGGAGTTTCGACGCCAAAATTTGCCACACCGCGTACCGACGTGAAATTTCACGGTGTAGTGCAGAACAACGTGAAGCGAAACCTCTTTCACGACGCCAAGAATCGCCTGCTTGAAGTAGAGGCATCATGGCCGCCATCATGACCGCTGCATTATATTTATGACCCTAATTCAAGGCGCTCCATGCTCCTCCGGAGATCTGAAATGTCGGCAACAGTCATATCATGAGCTGAGATCATTTCCTTGTGGGTCATGGCGGGCGGCGGGAAGTTTGGAAGAGTTTTCTGTTCAAATAATAATTACCCGCCTTTAAACTTTTGTGCTCTTTTACACAACAGGCTTTTGCAAGACTCGACCTCCACGGCGCGCGCGCGGTGCATGCACGATCTCCTTATTGGCGTCTCGCCATCGTGGAATAAAAGAATAAAGAATCCTCCAGGCTCCACTGCCTCCAGAGTCCAGACTCCATGTGCAGTCCAGGCGCTATAGTCAGTATAGATACTAGTACTAGTACTACTAGTACTAGTAGTAGCTGGGCTCCAGCCTCAGGATGACGTCATGTCACGCGTCATGTTAAAAATATTTTTCTGTTTGTGACATCATAATCACACCCACTGTACTGACCCAGACATGCATGACAAGACAGTGCAGACTGCAGAGTGTGCATGCAGTATCACTGCACACAGCGCGATGACTGTAAATCTACCAGAATAATAATTCTCACACCTGTGCAAAGTGCAAACGAGAGCTTGATAGAAATAAAAGAACTGAATGAGAATGGAAGAAATAAGCACTTGACTGCTGTGATTGTCCAGTATGCTCCTTGTTGCTTCAGACGTGGTTTGGCTTTGGTTTTAGCAGTGCAACCCATTCGCAACGCAATGTTTTATGTTAGTGGCACACCAGGAACTGTTTTCTATTGCTAAAGGCCCTATCAGAGTAGGTGGATTCAATAGATTTGACGATCAGTAGTTTTGGTCAATCATGAGTGTTGGTGGAGGTGCCACACACAGTAGAATGGCCTCTCAGGAAATCGAGACAGAGAGTGTAGACCACGAGGAGTTTGTGCCAGTATCCGTTACTGTGGATGAATTCGACGCTCACAAGAAACTACTGCGTAGCTTAAGAGAAGCAGCTGCAGAGAATGCTGAGCACTTCTGCAGACGTCCCAACCTGCATCAGTCCAACGAAAAGTTTTACGCACTGTTCATGAATATTGTTACCTCTGCTGAGTCAACAGAGTTGCTGTGTAAACCGGTGATTGAACGTGTGGCTGAGTTTGATTTTGACAGCTGTGTGCATGCCAATGGATTTAGAAGTCTGCTGCACATGGTGGACTCAGTTGTCAAAGCACTGATTCTACAGTCTAAATCCTGTAAAGATAACCGCTCAAAGACGTTCTTCTCCTCGAGCACCACTTTTGACCATTTGTCGTCACTATCAAAGGCTCTGAAAGGCCTGTCGCGCATTGTTCTTCTGGCGCACGAGCTCATGTTGCATTTAGAAGGTGGTGAGCTGTTTCCCAAGGACGAGACAATCTCGCATTCACTATTGGAGCAGTCACAGCAAATACCCAGGGAGTGTTTCTATGGGAAATGTCTAGGAGTACATGTAAGTAGTTAGTTGTACCTTAGTACAGTTGCGCTCACTGAAATCCGACCCAAAGTGCAAAGCTGGCGCCCTGGACCAGTACGGATTACATCGTTGTGGGCGTACATGTGTACGTCCAGCCGCATTCATTCCACTGCCAGGGCGCCAGGGGCCGTTCCAGTTGAGGGCACCAGCTTTGCACATTGGGTCGGATTTCAGTGAGCGCAACTGTATCTAGACTACCAGTAGCAGTAGGTTGGATGAGTGTAGTGTTGGCATCGCTGCTTTTAACCACTGACTTTCTCTGGCTATGACGGTCTTCTTCAGACTGCAGTCCTCCTATCCTCACACTATGCTTAAAATATCTTGACTGTACACGCTTGTATTTCTTGGTACAGTACTTCTCTCTCTCTCTTTCTCTCTCTCTCTCTCTCTCTCTCTCTCTCTCTCTCTCTCTCTCTCTCTCTCTCTCTCTCTCTCTCTCTCTCTCTCTCTCTCTCTCTCTCTCTGTCTCTCTCTCTCTTTTTCTCTTTTTTTTGGTATGGTTATTTACCAGAAATACATTAGTTTGTACATTGTACAAAGCATGATGAACTTGTGGGCATGAATTCTTATCTTTAGTTATTTGAGGTTGCAGTGGGAGCATAACCCTGCATAGACTCTAGCCGACACTGGACACTACACCATGGCATGCTGTTTTGAGCGACTGCAAACTAAACTGACATCATAGAGTACGTGCGTTCTGGTATGGTGTGCTGCATTCTCATGAAATCACCTTGTGTATTATTTATCCTTTCTCTGCAGTATGTTCCGTCCATAAAGCCTGTTGTTCAAAGCATAGCCTTTGCGATGGCATCGTTTGGCGAGGGCTTCCTGCGCCATCAAAGCAATTGCCAAGACATGACCGGCTTCTCCAACATGGTGCGTGTGGCTATGTCCTCGATGTGGCATGGCACTGGGTTTGTGCTGAACCACTCGCGGCGCGCCTCGCAGATCGTGTCGCTGACACAGAGTCGTGATATTCACTTTACCAAGTCGTTCTGGTCTCTGGCTGAAGTCAGCGCATTACAGGTAATATTCACGTGTACACTTGTACTCATGCTTATGTACAGTACAGTAGTCGAGAAAAGTCTAGCATTAGCTTGCGTGCATTCCGGTAGGAACTGTCAGCCCTCACTTAACTGCACACGGAAGTATCCGGATGGGCGTGAGAACCGGACTACCCAAAAGCGCATAACACTGTACTCCAAGGTGTTTACTGTAAGTCTGCTGCAACTGGCTGCCACCGGCACCGGTTGGAGAGGCAACCGGTTAAACGAGAAGTGGACAAGCGGGAACCGACTGTATTCTTCAGAACGCGTAAAAACTCCATTGCAGCGGGCTCTTTCCGTTTAAAACACATCTATCCTAAACACTCTACTTCACTTTAGGCTCTCAGCTTTATCCAATACCATAGGTGATTGGGATGGATGTTGAATATGCTAGAAAGCCTAGAATTGATTCATGCAATCTTCAGAGATTGCTTTGTCTTTGTAGTTATAGTTGTGATGCTGAAATGCAGGTCATTCTGACTCCCCTCATTGTGTGTGTGTGCATATGTGATGTCTGTACCCATGCGTATATGTTTGTTTGTGTAGCACATGGCGGAACTTGTCATTCCCAGCATGGCTGTTGCGCAGCAGATCACACTGCCCATCGACATAGTCTATCTGCCCTGCTGTGCGTCGGAACACGGTGAGACAACGTGCAAAGGCAGCTTTGCGCATCTGATAGACCCGTCACAGGCACAAAGGCAGCATGGTGCTGATGAAAATGCTACGCCACCGTGTGAGATCATGGAAGAGGAAATGGAGTCGTTGCTAGTTTCTGCCGATGTGGCGGCGGCTCTTTCCTGCGCCGTGTCCAACGGGGAAGCCGGTATAGGCATTGAGACCGGCCTGGGATGTGCATCGTCGTCACCTAGCAGCCAGAGGGAAGAATCGGTGAATGAAGAACTTCAATACGATGAGAACTACGAGGTGATTGAGGACGACACAGGTTCGACTCAATGCGACGGTGTTGCTTCACCACCTCACTATGAGGATTTATATGGAAGCGCTCCTACAGAGCCGGTGGCAGCTTGTACTGAGCAACCCTCTCCGGGCCTAACAGATTCAGAAGAGACTACCAGCCTATCACCAGCCTGTGCTAGCAGTAGTTTGGAGAGCAATGGGCAGCATAGTGTAGCTGTGAGCAGCAGCGGAGCCCCAGCAACAGCACCGGCACAGTCAGAACCTGCGGAAGTGAACTCCGGTGATGCAACTGAGGTTCAAGATCAGCCTTGCTCCACATCTGGTGATACAACTCCTGCAACTGCAGTTCAAGATCAGCCTTGCTCCGTATCTGGTGATACAACTCCTGCAGCGGCGGTTCATGATCACCCTTGCACTGTGCCGGGTGATGTGAATACTAGTGCTACTCCCACCACTACTGGTATGCCAGCACAGAGCCTTGATCAAAGAGAAACTGTGACAACGGGAGAAGCCACAGCGGCCGAATCCACCACCGTGCCATCAGTGTCCGAGTGTCTAACTTGCATGGTTGCCATCTCTCCACCTCTCATGCACTCGTCTCAACCAGCTAGTGTTAACATTCACCTTATCAGTGCAGTATACCGCGAGGGACAGGTATGTATAATTCCAGGAACACTCATACATGTGCATGTATTGGCTTTTAAAGCGCGCCCCTTTGGCATGTGACATGTGTGTGTGTGTGGGGAGGGGGATTTAGCGAGACCGGCTGCAGTTTTCAGCCATCGGGACTATAATAATCTCACTCCCGGTCGGTCTAAGAGCACAGCGGTGGTGTGGAGAGTAAGATGACTACTAGTACAGTGTGTGTGTATGGTAATCGGTCAATCTTTCTCATCTTCCTCACTACATCCCGCACTGTGATGCATGAAAGCAAGAAACCTTGGTGGGAACTTGACCCAGTACTAGTTTCTGTACTTGTAAGAATCCGGGAAAATGGAACGCTTCCTTACACTAACGTTTGCCTTGTAACAGTGTTCACTGCGGTCTTTTTAGTTTTTACACACTAGATGCGGGCGGGCTGTGGGAGCTATACGGGAAGCAACAGTACACTTTTGTCGGGAGACATAACTATTGACCTACTTGTGTCTGTTGTGATTTATCTACTGGTGTGCTGCAGAAGGTTCGCTCGTCGTCTCTCTCGTTCAAACGTAACAGCAAGGAGCCTGCTCCAAGTGCCCGCGGTCTGGTCATCCACTGCCATGGAGGTGGATTTGTAGCTACAACAACGAAATCACATCAGGTATGTAACTGTTATAGTATAGTCGAGGCACTGCAACAGCACTACAGCATTACAGTTGTTGCTGATGTCTGCAATTGTCTTGCTGCAGTGTGTATGTGAATGCTTCCTTTTACATATGTACAAAAGGTCCCCACTACAGGAAATAACACACTGTTCTTGTTTGTTTTGGACCATCAACTTGCAAACCCTCTCATTCTATCTGTGTGTGTGCGTGTGTGTGTGTGCGTGCGTGCGTGTGTGCGTGTATGTGTGTGTGTGTGTGTGTGTGTGTGTGTGTGTGTGTGTGTGTGTGTGTGTGTGTGTGTGTGTGTGTGTGTGTGTGTGTGTGTGTTTGTATTGCATGACTTTACAGTCTTACCTGCGGCAGTGGTCTATTGATCTAGATGTGCCAGTGGTATCAATCGACTACAGCTTAGCACCGGAGCATCCTTTTCCGCGTGCCCTCTGTGATATCTTATTTGCGTATGCATGGATAGTGGAAAACTGCAAGCTACTGGGTACAACAGGCGAGAAAATCATCATCACAGGCGATTCCGCTGGAGGTAAGATGTGACAGTTTCACGATTGTTTCGCTTCTTTCCACCCTTTCTGCTGGACATTTACTGATTTGTGCTCTTCTTCTTTTTCTTCTTCCATGTGTGGAACTCTTACTTTGGCCTTCATAGGAGGTAGTCTCTCCAATCTACAATGTTCACTACACGTGCAGCATGCCAGCAGGTCTCTATCACAAAGTCACTACACTGTCAGCTAGTCTTCTCGAGTTCACTGCATGAGCAGCTTGTCTACTACAAAAGTTACTCGAGATGGGTTTTATCCACCAATTTTTTGGTGCACAATATATTCCTCATACAGGTGGAATCCTGATAATTCGAATATATTAATTCGAACATACCGCTTAATTAGAAGTTTTCCCAGGACCGATTTCTATCAATACGATTCTCACATTGAAATCAACCCGGGGCGAAATTTCAACCCGGGTCAAGCGCAATGCGTCATGTAAACGCGCCATTCATTTTGTGTACATGGCGGGTTGGAATCTGACCCGGGTCGAACTCAACCCGGGTTGAAACGCCTCATGTAAACACAGCCTTAGAAGTTTTTTCCTGGCATTTTGAGGTTCGAATTATCAGGATTTCACCTGTACTAGTATTTCTTCTTTTTCGTTGTCCTCAGGTAATCTGGCAGTTGCCATGACGCTAGCAGCAATCGAGCTTGGTATACAGAAGCCGGACGCCATTATGGCTGCGTATACTCCGTTCCTTGTGGAATTGAGCATATCCCCGTCACGTCTGCTGAGCGTATTTGACCCACTCTTACCGCAGGGAGTCCTGTTGGCGTGTCTCGATGCCTACGCCCGCTCTGACGATGAGACATTGTGAGTTGATGTTCAGGGAATTGTGCTGCTCATGCGTAGGATCTTTTCTTGTTGCTGACTGACAATGTGCCTGCTGAAATGGTGAGAAATATGATGACTAGCTGACACAGAGAATGTTGTTGATTTGTGCGTTGATCTGCACATCCTTGTGTGATCAACTGTTGCAGCAACATTCTGTGCGTGTGTCTGTGTGTTCATTTGAATATTGTGTTACCGCAGCACATCATCAGATTCCTCTGCTCAACAAAGCCAACGCCCTAATGGCTTAGTGATTGACGAGGAAAGTACTACTGTTTCCTTCAGTTCCTCATCATCATCCCTGTCGCCGTCATCGTCAACAACCTTCTCATCATCTTCCTTCTTGTCCAGCTCGTTTGGCTGGAATGCTGGCGGTGGCTTGTCAGTGCAGTGGTCAAAGCTGAAAGCCTCATTATCTAGTGAGGCAGGTTCTGGCGCAGCAGTGGCTGGAACTGGTAGCGAAGAACCCGGATCAGATACTGACGTGCCATCAGCATGTGAACCCAGGCAATCTGCTAGTGTTGGAACTGAATCTACTGATAGTTCAGAAACTAGCCTGACCAACTCCGAGTTTGTGGAGGTGTCCTTCTCCGATGCTAACACTGCTGGAAAAAGGATCTCTTCTCAGCGTTGTGGCAAGCTAGAAAATCTGTTCAGGACACAGCCAAATACATACCTATCTCCCCTCCGTGCCAGTGACGAGCTCCTCAAGCAACTGCCTCATGTAGATTTAGTGGTGAGTCTCATTGCATTGAAATTGATTATATTGTCGAATTCATGCTTAGGAGCAGATTATGTTTCCCTCTTGATCGAGCACAAAGCATGACCAAGAGGCAAGTGGTCTTTGCAGCCAGGGGGAAGAGTGGGGCTTTCACATTCCACTGGTTTAGTGCAGTATGCAACATGTCACTAAAAGCGCCATTTCGTTCTTATAAAAGCATGGATAACCGCAATTGGCCCATATGTTGTAGTCTTTTGGACGCTGAGTCGACTGGTTTTGGTCCGAAAAGGCTGCAATGCAGCGTTCGGCCCTTATTCCCAATCGAACACGGTTGAGTAAGCGGTCCCGTGCTCGTGCGTACACCAGTCGCCAGGTCACCGTGCCCGCAGACTACAACTTTCACATCAACGTTCAGCTCAAAGGTTCAAAGGTTCAACTCGAGTGACAGGAAAGCACCCAAACAGGCTGTAAGTTGTAGCCTACGGGCACGGTCCGTAGGCACGGTGACCAGGTGACTGGGGTACGCATGAGCACGTGACCGCTTACTCAACCGTGTTCGATTGGGAATAAAGGAGGAACGCTGCATCGCAGCCTTTTCGGACCAAAACCAGCTGACTCAGCGTCCAAAAGACTACAGCATATGGGCCAATCGTGGTCATCCTTGCTTTAAAGAACGATAGGGCACAGTCGTCCAGTTTCAGTGGAAGTGGCGATAAAGGAATAAAGGGAGCGTCTCAGCTTCCTCGGACCAAGACCATTCGACTCAGCACCCCGAGGACTACAACTGGTGAAAATTTGATTTTAGGGTATACTTCCCCTTTAAAGAACAACTGGCGGTGTTTCAGTCATCGTCTGTGTTTGTGTGTGTCTCTCTGTTGTCGCATGCAGGCGTGTGCTCTAGACCCGCTTCTTGATGACTCGATTGCCTTTGCCCGGCGCCTGGCCAAGCTCAATGTGTCGTCACAGCTGCACGTGGCCGACTCATTGCCGCATGGCTTTCTCAACCTTGCGTTTGTCAGCAAGGAGGCTAGGCGTGCGTACGACATGTGCACACAGTGCATGCGCAATGCTCTGGCCACTGAAGAAGCAACATAATCTCCACGGTTGCTGGTAGTAACAGAAAGTTTTTTTTTTAATTTTGGAAACTTCGATATCAATCAAATCCGCCCATTGTTCTTTTTACACCAGTAATACCCTTTTAAAAAGCAGTCCACTAGTTCTAGTGCACACGATAGACAGTGTGTGGCCCTCAGGGCAGGTGGCCACCAAACTTTTATACCAGCAGGAAAGTACAAGCGTATCCATCACATTATTACTTCAAATAAAAAAAGTATTATATTTACCATACTACTAGTTGCTTCATAATCTGATCACAGTGTGGCTGCAGTTGCATCGCTGTACTTCCAACAACTGCTCGTAAACCGCTAGGCTGCATTGGTACACAGTCTCTGGTGTTTACTCCGCTGTTATTTCTACTATTGTTGCTATCACGTGCTGGTTCGTCATTTTATCCACATTTAGGAGGTAATATATCGGAGACTATCACCCCCACCCCACCCCCGCGCGCGCGCGCGCGCGCTGTGCTTTGCTGAGGTGGCAATAGTGCTACATTACTGTCTTTGTTATCCTTTCCTATTCGTGGGCAGTTTTAAATATTTTCAGGCTGATTTATTCGTCTCTTTTCGAAATGGTTTCTGTATTATCCAAGGTCTACTCATTTAGCTGAATCATCCATTTTCTCTACTTTAGGGTGCATCTGTACTGGCAAATGCCATTTTCTTCATTTTTTGTAATAAGTTTTTAAACATAGATTGCACGTGGAAAGAAATGTGCAGTTACACACACACACACACACACACACACACACACACACACACACACACACACAACAACAACAACAACAACAACATACCACAGACACACACGCGCGCGCAAACACACACGCACACACAATACTACTGTACAGGCAGAACATTTTGTCGGTCAATAATTTCGTCCAACTCCAAAGCAAGGGAGTTTGTCCTGTTGTAAATTTCATCCATGGATCATAAAAAGAGTGTATTGAAAAGCTCGACAAATCGACATTAGTCCGGCATTTAATTTAGGGTGCGTTTGGTTGGTACGATCTAGAACAGGATCGAACAGCTGGTGCACATGGAGCAGCCTCATGCCAACCAAACGGTACTCCAGAAACAGAGCATTTTTTGTGAAAAATATGCCGAACTTGGTGCATTCTTCAAAATGTGTATGGGTCACCATGGTCACTGTGTACGGTACGACGAGTCCAACCCAAAAGCGTATGCACGTGATCATTTGGGACCAAAATCGATGTTCCCGCCAGGTTTCACTGTGAAAAAGTGAAACTGCTCGGTCTGCTCCGGCCTCAAGACTGGAGCAAGCAGAACATGTTCTGGCCGACCCAGAACAGGTGCAGTCCCAACCAAACGTGCTGTTCTGGTGAATCCTGTTCTAGTTCGTACCAACCAAACGCGCCCTTAGTCCAAAAGCTCCTTGGCCGAAAAAGACGAAATTAAATTCCAGACAAATATTTCTGCTTTTACAGTACCAAATCGCCCGATTTATCGGACACTGTAGGAAACTAACCCTCCTTCCGAAACCGATCCGAAAAAGAGAACAGGAGCGGCCTTTTAGACGTTACCAGAGAACCCAAAGACTGTGCTGTAACAGTATGTACTGGTATGTACTTGAAGTACATGCGTATCAGTTCAGTTGCTGACACTCCCTTTACCTTGGGACACGAGGAAAATGGACCATTTATCGGGCATCTGATCCGGGAAGTCATTTTGGCAGCACTGCAGGCAAACATGCAAACTGTCCATCACATGCATGTGTGTACTGCATGTACTGCCATGTATGTCAGTACTTCAGTATCAACATTGCACCACAATCACATCCGACAGACCCCGACGCAGGTACACTGAACATTGTATGTAGGATGACTCATGTATTTACTGCATTTTGTGCGCATTTACCACAATCATCGTGCATTGATAGGCACATTGCAGGAAGCAGGATTGTTAGGATGCTCAGATGCTCACATACGCATTTAAAATATCCATATCAGCGCATACATGGCAGTGTTAGGTTTGTTATGTAATCATTCAATGCAAAGCTGTGCATGGGTAGTCGGATACAATGTGCTGTATGTACTGCTGGCCTGTGATATATTGCTTGCCTGGCATAATGCGGATACATGCACACTCTCGAGCTAGTTAGGAACAGATTATCTTCTGAACTACTGCTCACACACACACACACACACACACACACACACACACGCGCGCGGCACACACACAAACACACACACACTCTCTCTCTCCCCTCCCCTCTATCTCTCTCCACTGGTCTCTAGGCTACTGTAACACTCATCAAATTCTTACTAGTCTGATATGTTCAGCCTTCCAGTTTACCCGCAGCCTCTCTCTTCATGCTCTCCATTCGAAATTGGATCTCTTCATGCAGTGCCGAACCTGCCACTGCAATGTGTGACATGAATTCTGCCTTGCTCCACTGGCAAAGTTCTACTCCGGTCACATTGAAAGAGGTCAGTCCAAGGATCTTCCTGTCCACAGTGTCGAACTGCTGAAGAAGGTGATGAAACTGGAGCCATTGTGCAACATCTTGCTCGCTCCACTTGGCAACATCTACAGGGCATATTCAAAGATGGCAACAACGTACACACACACACACACACACACACACACACACACACACACACACACACACACACACACACACACACACACAGTAAAATCCAATACATTGTGAAATTGCACCACGCCGAGCAAAAGCATTTAGAGTAGCTTCGGCAATGAGGCCATAGCTAGCGTTATCACGTTGCTCTTGCTTGACGAGAAAAAATATACTCCAAACCCGTCTCATGATTGATTCAGTTCGTGAAACTCAGAGTTACAAAACAGCAACTGTTCGTTATTCTGTCTGTGTACTCCAAAACAAACTGATCTGAGCGATTCCTAACAGGCTACTCATAAATCAGCCCAAGCACACCTTGCCACATTGGGGCCATGACTGGGACACCGAGATAGAAACTCACTAAGAGGAGTTGATTGGGGGAGGTGCCCGCATGGACTCGCTAACCCCCCGCACACACACGCATGCACCACATGCTCGGCAAGCACTTACCCAGTGGTAGAGCGCTCTCAGGTTGATCTGACGGGGACTCAGCTACGGATGGCATTGCGCAAGTGGTCACTCGGCCACGGACCGAGCCACCGGTATCAGCATGACCTGCCGGTGTCCATGCCTTGGTGACATCAGTGAGATCGCCATGATCTGTGCCTGTTTCACGCACACGAGCCACGAGTGAAGGACTGGCAGTGTGTACCCCCACAGGCAAAACTCTGCTGCGCGCTATGCTGCATGGCCAGCCACCGGTGGCATTGGCCAATGGAGATGGAGGAGTGGTAAGACATCGGCTGGCAGCTCCATGACCATCCTGATGTCTGTACGGCTGGAATCTGGAGCTGCCTTTGTTCTCCTGGGTAGGTGATGACTTGACCTTTTGCTTCTTACCCTTCGCCTTCTTTGCTTTCTCCTCCTTAGGAGACGGAGACCATAGGTCTGGCACAGCCAAGAAATTCTCGGAATCGGGCTTGCAGATGATGCAGTCACACTCGTCATGTTTGTTCACCTGTTGCATTCCGCTTGGGGCAGCAGCAGCAGCAGCTGCAGTACCGGAGAGTGAAACAAGGGTTTCTGCTACGCTCCACAGGTCATCATACTGCTGGTCACTGGTATTAGGGGCAGGAAGTGCCAGTGTCATCTCCGTCTCTTGAGCAGCACTGCGTTGAGATGGTGCATTGGCAGTGTGGACTCCAAGCGGCATGGGCGTTGGAATGGTTGATTGCTGGGGTGTGATAGCTTGCAGCGTGCGATTGAGAAGAGTTGTTGGCCTGCTGGTGATGTTGGTGACCAGAGGAGATGGGCCAGTATGACTACGGCATGGCACCCTGACAGGACTAGTAACGTGTTGGACTGGAGCAGTGCAGTGCATGCCGCCATGGCTCAACGCAGGAGGAGTACCTGCACTCAGTGATAATGATGGCAGTGAGACCGGGCCATTGCTTACCTGTGACTCCGACGCAAACACACTAGGTTGACTGGTGAGGCCAGGGCTTCCATTACTACTGGCTAGGAAAGAGGTATCACAGGTAGTGCCGCCGCGGCCATCCATTGACGATAAGTTGAGCATAGCGCCCAAGCCAATGTCAGTGAAGCCGCAACATCCAATGCTTGAGGTATAGGATGCGGGCGAGAACAGTCTAAACTGATCCAAATCAGTCATGTCGGAACATGCTGTTGTGGCAGTGGCAATATTGGCAGAAGGTACAGCATCACTTCTGGCTGTCGAGTCGTTGAATGAGTTAAGAAGATTGCCATTAGGGAGAGTCCTGTCCTGGTTGGCCATTGGTGGAGCTGCAGGTAGGGTAATGTTTGATGCAGACAATGGCTTGAAGAAGACATCAGAGAAGCCAGTCAGTCCTCTGCTCAGCTCCCCTGTCTGAGTTCTGGCAGCATTGATCTGCATCGGTGGTGTTGGCATACTGTCCAGTGTGGGAGAGTTCCAACTTACAGCAGTGTCCAGAGGAGATGATATCAGTGATTCCAGACTGCTGCTGCTGTGTTGCTGGTCAGAAGCAGTGAGCATATTCGTGACACCCATCACTTGTTCCTCAGCAGAGCGCAGATCGACAGACTGAGAGAGCGGGTCAGAAAGCAAATCGCTGTTTGTCAAGAACAATTCAGAAACCTGGTAGTCTTTGGGCTTCCTCGTCTGAAGTGCAAATATGCGCTCCGCAGCAGGAAAAATTGGCTGCCGGTGATGCTGCTGCTCCAGGTATAATGGTGGTGCAGCCGGTGATGCAAGGTGGAGAGCGTTGCTGCTCCCAATGTATTGGCTTTCGTGCTGGTTGGGCGAGTCTTGCTCAAATATCAGCTCACCGTCAAGTGCTTGGCCAGCATAGTGATGCTGTGCAGGAAAGTCTATGCTCTCAAGAAGATCATGCAGTTCCAGTACTTGCCGCTGGTTGCCCTGCTCCTGTGGCAGAAAAGTGCTGCTAGCTCCAGAAAGCAATAACCTGCCTTGTGAATCCAGTGGGCCCGTCCACCTGTATACAATAGCACACACAGCAGACCAGAGAGCAGACAGTGAATGACAAGCCACCCAAGATTTCAGAGTTTTAGGTCTTGGCCTTCTCTAGTGCTGACTGCATTTCAACATGAAAGTCTCTCTATGTGTTATCCCCTATTAGAAGTACACATATGCTTGAAGGACATAAATGTGCAGTTGCAGGTGCACTTTCAGCACACAACTGTGTGCACGCACAGGCACAGCGGTAGCTGGCAGGCATGCTGCACAGTGGTGGGCACAGGTAGTGTTCTATTTCACTGTGACCACTGACTGTCCATGATGTGTATATGCAATTAGAAGCAAGGCCAAAGTGGAACAGGAAACTAACTGCCACTTCCCTATGGAACCACGCAGGGTCTAAAGTCCAGCAGCTACTCGGTGCACAAGACATCCTCCATCACCTCATTCAACGTAGATGCACAGAACCAAGAATGTCCAAAGAAGCACAGTGCAAGAGTTCCCAGATAAATGTGGATGCTTTGCAGAGCCATTTGCCTAGACTGGATTGGAGTTAGCCTATTGCAGGTTATGCAGAAAGAACTGGCTTGTTTGGAACCATTGCAAAGGCTGCAGGTCTCATGTACTAACGTGTAGACAAAGATCACTAGGTATACTTCAAGCACATGTATACAGTAGAGTGTAGTTCTTGAGGAAGATGGGGATGGCATTACTGCCAGTACTGGTGCTGAATAATCATGATGATAGACCTCTCCTTTTCTACCGTCTACAGTCCCAGCCCCTATACCAAGTAACCATCAGGTTTCTGAGAATATCCCATGCATCAACATGGCGGTGCCAGGAACACATGATCACCCGCTCAACCTGCGACTATTGGCACTCAGTTTACAGTTGAGATGAGAGGGAGTGTCCACCAAACACATGCACACTCTGCTGAGCGGCCGCACAATCGTACATCTTATTCGCACACCCGCTCCACTTGCACTCGACTATAGAATATTGTGAGGGTAGGAAGAGGAAATTAATTCCGTGAGAGTTTCCCCACTCATCAGAGTCTGATGTATATCTGCTTTATGACCAAGACCTGAATAGTTCAAGGTCTTATGGGACGGAATATCTCATATCCGTAGCATACTATGCACTCTACAGCATTTGGAACCTGCTCAAAATGGCTGCTCCACAATGTGTGACACACTTCAGAAGATATAGTATGCATTCAAATGGAATTGATAATATAATTATATAATAACACCACGAAACCCAACAATAACATTGTTCCCATCCGAGGATCTCACTACAACGTGAACCCATTTTCTTTTCATAAAAGGGCTACACTTGGATAAGAAGGCTTGCCACCAGTAGTTCAATGTAATTGACTGTAAGTACATGTATATACCTTTGATACAGTTGTTGACCACACTTCTGTTTGTATAATCCATGCCTGATAAGCCATGTGACTATGACAAGCTGGACTCGACTGGACATTCCAGGTACTGAATGCGGGCTGGTGATCTCTGGCATGATCAAATCACTACTCGCACCTACGGTCATACAATGTACCACACTACTTGAAGTAGTACATGCACATGTAGGTAATGTTGCATTATAAAATAATGCATTCACGCCGGTTTGATAGTTATGCAGCACAGCTCCGACAGTGGCAAGGTGTCGAGGATGCGCAAAGGAAAGTGTACCGATCCGATTAAGGTTGAAAACATGAGCATTATCCTTCATCATGTGTCCACCACCTACATGTACAACATGTACATTGTAAGTCCTTGTCACCTAGGTGTATACTACGCCAAAAACAGCATACTGGTAAGACATGGAATCCAACTCAGGGGCGTAGGAGGGGTTTTGGAAGTGGTACAACCGAAGATCGGCGCGGCCAAAGGCCGTTTTGGAGGGGGGTCGGGGAGACCTCCCCCGGGAAAATTTTGTAAAAAAGACACAAAATCCTGCGTTCTGGGAACTTCTGGCACAGTTTATAAAGTCATAATTTCACGGTCAGAAGAGACGTGCATGGACATGCACAGATACATGGCAGATCTTCGAGTACGAACTCGTAGATCTACGAGTCTAGAAAAAGGTCAAAGTCTGATGCGCATATGCGCATACATGTATGCGTCGATGGATCCTGATTTTTTATTATGGTTTTGCACGTTCCGGATGGACCACACTTTTCGAAAAATGGTACGGCCATGGTCGTACCAGGTGCTACGCCCCTGCAACTGGCTCATGAAGAAGGCCTAGCTGTGCTCCAAAGGCACGGCTGAGTTCCCATGCATGTACAGTGTACATGTGGGTCGAGTGCTTATGTGACGGGTCATGGGTGGGGGGGGGGGGCATTCTTCTATTCAGGAGTCCGAGTTTCATTTTCCAGCACTGTCTCGGAATGTACTAGTGTAGATAACGTACCTTAGTCTACCCTACACTAGGCTACAGCCTAAGCACCTAAGCACCTAAGCACCTAAGGTAGAGGCACCACAGTGACCTTTCTTTTCAGTCCCGCTATCTGTTTACACTGATCATGCAGCAGGGAGAGATAGTTTAGGAGCACGACCCTGGACCAGCACGATAACCATGATAACAAGACTCCGAAAGATAGATGAGCACTAGTTTTGTCACAAACATGCTACTTGTACTAACGTTTAGTCAGTGGTGACATGTTGTACCTCATCATCTCTGCCTAAACTAGCATGCTAAAGACGTATTCATAGGCTCACCAGTTTTGTCACAAAAATGTTACTTTACTCAGTACTCAGTAGTGACATGTTATTCCTCATCATTCCTGTCTAAACCATACTAAAGTATCCACAGCGTAGCACATCTACGGGGTACAATCCAGTAGTTCGACGTATTCTTTCCAAAGCCGAAGCAGAGACTGATGGTGATCTGCAGTTTTGTAACACATTACCTAGAATTTCATTCCGCTTGTTGAAGTTGCCACGTGCCTTTCCAACTCTCCAACTCAAAGCCGTTGCAGAACTTTCTTTCTTTCTTCTTCTCCGCAGTGCTTCGTAACAATGTGCAGTGCGGTGCACTAAGCACCTTCTGGGGTGCGTGGTGACGAAGAAACTCGATACACACCAAAAAGGTAGTCAATGATAAGCGCAAAGATTTGAGCTTCCAACTAACGCTACTCCGAAACCAAGTCGCTTGAAAACTGCAACCTTTCATCCACGCTACTGAATTTTATCCTTTTGCACCAAGGCAGATAGGTAGGCAGGCCGGTGTGATGACCCTCAATCATGCATAGCCATGGTGAAATGTAGTGTGTTGATGTGCACTAGTTTGTGCATGAACCAACACACTCATGCTCAGCAGCAACTTGAGCAAGGTCGTGGTATGAACCCGTAGATCTACCGACCGTGCGCCCGCAGTCTCGGTACCATCCGTGAATGCCGTCCATGCTTTGCAGGCTCTCTCGTCTGTGAGGAAATCTGAACTGCAGAGTGCAGAGTGCAGGTGTGAACTACCACATTGGCTGGAGATCGAGGACACGCATTGCACCACCATTGCGCAGCAATCCCCGTTGCAGATCTACTAGTGTTCTCCACTGCTCCGATAATGACTGTAGACTCTACCTTGTATCTCTTCACTCTGGATTCAGAACGACTGCATGGCCAGGATCTAGGGGAGGTTGTGCGAAAAAGCGGAGATCATAAAGCAGGCTTGCTCTTTGTGGCCTGGCCACAATCTTAACCCGCTTCTCGCCTGCAGCGATATACAGTCAGTGGAATTGTACCTACTGCCTACTGGACTTCGACGCTCTCGGACTGATGAGACATGTTTTGTTAGTTCAACGATATTATTGGCGAAGAGAGAGAGAGAGAGAGAGCGAGAGTATGCTCAACGAAAGGTAGTTCACTAATCACTCTCTGGGAGCGTCTATTTCCGATCCCAGTTCTTTCCAGAATTGGTAACACACCTCTTGCGGTGCACGGTTCCTTCAACTCGTCACATTCTTGCCCCAGATTTAGAATGAACACTCGCGACTCGCGTGTATGTGTGCGTTGGTGGCTAAAAATGATCAAGAAATCTAATACAGTACCTGTCAGAATCGCACGCGCAGTTCCCGGGGAATGCTTCTCTGGTCACAGAAAAGCCGACGTGGTCGCACCACGAGACGGGTTTTTACCCATCAGTCAACGACAGTTTCGTGCCTTATTAGTGCTGCATCAGCGATCTCCTCACCAAGTATTTCCCTCAAACTGATCAGAAGTACGGGCGCGATAACGTGCAGAACATCGTTTCTCTACATCGATACATACTGTACCCAGTTTTACCTCACGACGAGAGTGCTAATGAGTTTTACATAAGTAATTATTTATTTGAAGTACAATGCATAATGATGTTCAGTGAGCCTTGTCAATACGATTGTCATTGTCAGCACTTACACGATGGAAGAAACCGCGCTTTCTTAGGCAAGGGGGCTGTCCTTAGCCATTGGCGGATACTGCCGGCAGAGAATTTGGCAGACTTTGGTGCTTGTTCTGGTATGTTTCGTGCAAGTTCGGTATGTGGATAAAGAAATAGAACCGAAATCAAGGAAGTGCTTGCCATATGGGTTGTATGGTTCTACTGCCAATTTTTCGAGCATTACCCGCTAAGGGCTAAGTGTCCTATGCCGAGAACGGCGAGTCGTAACGGCTTTCTATCCAGGTCCAGGATGATTAATTTTATCCCAGCTGCAATCTCCATGTAAACACGGTACCGGTATTTTCATTGAAGAAACCAATACTGATGGCTCGACCGTTTCCCTACAGTCATATTCACTTGTTCCTTTCGATGGGATTCACTGGCTTGTGTCAAGTCGACCTTGGACGTACAGTATTCTGCTCAACATATTTACTCACATACAATGTACATTGTACAATCATAATTATACCAAACATACATGAAACATACAACAAACTCTCCTCCTCCATTGTTGTATTATTCAACAACAGCCGAATGATAAATGAAACATACCAGATAATTACCAAATCCCGCCGATTTTCTGTCGGTATTACACGAAGGGTGTGTGGCAAGTCCTTCACTGAGGTTTTTATACTTACCACCCTCACCCCCCCCCCCCCCTTCTCTCTCTCTCTCTCTCTCTCTCTCTCTCTCTCTCTCTCTCTCTCTCTCTCTCTCTCTCTCTCTCTCTCTTTCTCTCTACTTTCCAGGTTCTTCGGTCGCACTCAACGTGTCTGTCTGGGGTCGCGGACTAGCTCTATATCAGCTTGCACGAGTGGTGTCCCCCAAGGTTCGGTGCTGGGTCCCATTCTGTTCAGTCTTTACATCCGCGAGGTCCCCGCTGTAGTTGGCCAGTCCGAGTCAGTTCGGACGACATTGCGCTCGCGTGCAGCCGGCGAACAGCACAGGAGGTATCCGATGTCTTATCTGCTTCGGTTTCAATCCTTGCAGACTGGCTGAAAGATCGAGGCCTGATCCTCAATGCTGGCAAGAGCCAAGTACATGTAGTGCCAATTCCTGCCGGCCGTCAGCACACAGCTGATCTACAGGTCGTCTGCCATGGCACTTCACTGCCTAGTGTGCTAAGTGCTCGTTATCTTGGCGCCACAATCGATTCCGTCATGTCCTGGCACGCCCACATTGCCAAATGTTCTGCACGCGTGTCGCAGAAGATCGGAGCACTCTGGCGAATGCGCCGCTGCCTGAATCATCAGTCACGCATGACCTACGTCGCTGATCATGTCTGACCTGCTGTATGCCTCAAACGCGTACTCTAGCTCACTGCAAAGAAGGTACCTCGACCGTCTACAGGTCCTGCAGAACAGGTCAGTGGGGCTCGTGCTGTCTTTGGCCGCCCTCCGTGGTCGTCTGCCCGCGACCTGCTGGAGCGCATAGCAGTGTTCCGTGTGGCAGAAGCCTTCAATCAGAAGCTAGCATACCTGGTGTGGCGCTGTCGTTATGCACTGGCAAGTCCAGAGTTGCAAGCCCTGCTAACC